ATATATGTATGTATATAGAAAATTAATAATAAATGTTAGTATCAGCATAGAAAAAAATATCTGGCAGAATAGACATCACATTGTCCAGAGAGGTTCTCTCTCTAATCATGCGTATTTCCACACTGCTTGAATTTTACGATCAACTTACTTCCATAAACAGAAAAAAGACAACAAATACTTTTAAAAAGAGCATCTCTGCTTCTAAGTCACTCTGTTCTTTCCACTTCACTCTTTCTGGCATTGTAGAGCCTATAATGCTATATCCCAGGAAACGTGAGTTACGAATCACAGCATGCCCTGAGCTTGAAGGCAATTTCTTTTCCTTACCTTCATGGCTCCCTATACAATTAAGGCTATTAGGAGGATCGTAATATACAAGAAAATTGATAGCTATTGACAAGAACCCATAAAAGAAAATCTGAAATAAATTACCTGCTGAATTGTGTTGATGATAGTGAATAAGCTCTGGAATGGAGTCAAAACAGTAGTTTTCTGCCAGGTACAATTTGTTCTCAGCATTTGTGTGCACATGGTAATGTTTCACAGCTCCTTTTTTATCTCTAGTAAGGAAGAAAGAATGTTAGAACATTCTTAATTAACATTTGCAACTTGAGTAAATAATGGCGACATGATTATTTTAGATGTATTCGCAAACTGGGGAGAGGAAGGTCGGTGAGGGTTTCTCAACCTTTTACATCGCCCAGGGGCTCCATAGTATAAATCTATGCCTCCAAAATAGAATGATTACAACCCAAGAATGTACAAGAAACTCCACTGGGGTAGAGAGAGAAAATACTAAAATGTATATTTTAGATTTGTTTTTTTAATCTCATTCTCTTCAGTTTTCTGTGTGTATTTTGTGATGCACGATTCCAACTTTAGGGACTACTCCTGCCTTAGTCAACAGAAAGCTGGACTCTTCCTCTGAGGATGGAGAACCTGGCAGTTGTTCAAGATCATTCTTCTGAATAGCACTTCTCTTTGAGGATAAAAAATTGGAGATAAAATTTGGAAGGGCAAAGACGATTGGGCTGTGGGTGTTGTCACCCCAGAGCATGGGTGGGAGGCTCTTTGGGAGTGGGGGTAGGGGGTGGGGAGCCATGTGGGTGGAGATGTCCTTTAATTCCTCATGTGAACCTTTTCCACATAAGCCGATTTTTTTCTCTCGCTCCACTTTTACGCAATAGTGGTAAATTGGCTAATTAAGAGCAATATGCCAGTCTTAGGTCTTCAACTATGGCATCGCAGTCAAGACACGGGCTTTGCATCGTTCCACTGCTTGCGGCTCCTTGGAAACCCTATGGGGCAATTCTACTCTGTCCTAGAAGGTCACTATGAGTCGGAATAGACTCAACAGCAACTGGTTTGGGTTTTTTTGGTTTTATATATACATACATATATATATATATATATACATACATATATATATGTATGTGTATATGGAGCCCTGGTGGCGCAGTGGCTAAGAACTACGGCGGGCTATGGCTGCTAACCAAAAGGTCAGCAGTTCTACTCTGTCCTATAGGGTCGCTAGGAGTGAGAATCAACTTGACGGCAACGAATTTTGGTTTTATGGGTCTTTATGTATTTATATATATAAGTATATTTATATATCTACCTACTTGCCGATTTATTTACCCAGACACTTTCAAAAATGAATCTGGAGTCAAGAAGCTTGACTAGGAGAATGGCTGATAGCAAATTTGGCCAAAACTGTAGGGCCAGAGAGCCACAGAACTTTTGCTTTTTCAAGGAACCAAGTCTTCTCCCAGTTCTCACTGGGTTGGCTTTAGCTAGTATGCAGGTATTACAGTGTGCAGCCTAGTACACGAAACACACTTGGGGATGTAGCTTCTGAGATTGGAAAATATCACGTGATTGCTTGGTGTACATCCTAGCATCTCAAGTTGGAGGTAGGTGCTCTGTAAAAAACGTTCTTAAAATAAAATAACTTTATGGAAACAACCTAAATGTCCACCAACAGATGAGTGGATAAACAAAATGTAGTCTATACACACAGTGGAATATTACTCGGCCATAAAGAGAAATGAAGGCCTGATACATGCCACAACATGGACGAACCTTGAAAGCATCATGCAGAGTGAAATAAATCAGACAGAAAAGGACTGATATTGTGTGATCCCACTTATATGAAATAGAAAAAGGTGTAGAGACTAAAGTTTATCAGTGGTTACCAGGGGTGGGAGGGAGGAGGGACGGGAGAGTCATTCCTTAGGGGGCACCGACTTCCTATTAATAGTGGGGGAATAATTTGGAATGGATAGCAGCAATGGTTGCATAACATGAGGAACGTAGTCAATGTCACTGAACTGTATGGGTAAAAATTGTTGAATTGGCAAATGTTTTGTTATATATATATTTATCACAATAAAAATTTTAGTTATAAAAGCAATAAAAAAATAAAATAACTTTTTAATCTCTTAATTATTACAAAGATACTTATACGCCCAGCAGGGCAGGGATCGTGGGAAAGCCATGAAGGCAGAGGATCATTGAATCCAACTGTTAAAACCGGGGTTGCACACAAAGAAATTCTTTTTTCAAATGGTCTTGATGAGGGCTTGGCCGGATTCTCACTCCAAAGCATTGGGGGTTTCCGCGTAGACACGGGGGAGTGTGGTTAAAGGAAAGTGGACTCCGCTGTTGGAAGCCTGGTCACTTATGAGCTTCCTGGGAAGGTCTTTTTAAACTCTGAACCTCCATCCTCTCATCTGTAAAATGGTAAATATACAAACAGCTTTCCTATTTGCTTCGCAGGGGGTTGAAAAGGAAGAAATTACTCACTACCAATGGGGAAGTGGCTTGTAGAACTCTGGAGAGGGATCTTGATGTTGGTGATGATGACTTGCCTGAGATGATTGTGGGCTGTCTTATATGCCTAAGTGTTGGGGGATGGAGTGGGGCAGATAGAACAACTTTTTCCCAACAGCAACAGTAATTACAATTAATTTATTAAGTGCTTACTGTGTTCCAGGCACTGTTCTAAGCCAATACATGAATTAATTCACTTTATCCACAGAATGATAATAATAATTATTATGTCCCCTTTTCAGATTCAGAAGCGGAGGCACAAAGGTTTACAAACTCAATGCCATAAAGCTCTGAAATGGTAACTTCTGGGATTTGAACTCAGAAGTGTGGCTTCAAACCGGAACTCTTAACCACCCAAAGAAGACAGCACCCTAGAGAGAAGCTGCCCAGGAAACGCAGCTACTCTGATTCAGCCTTCCATGACCTCTGGCTCCATCTAGAATGGCTTATTCAAAACCGGACACTGGGGTAGGTTTCTCAGCTCAGCAGTTGGCTTGGGCTGAGGGTATACAGGCTCCATTGCTATTTTTCTCTCTTTCTAGGCCTAAGTCTGAATCGAGGGGAATCACCGAGAACTTTTGAACAAATGTTTACTCTGGCATGCTGTGCCTCGCATACTCTGCTGCTGCCTGAGGTTGGACAGGAGAGGATCACCCAGCCAACAGCCTCTTTTACACGAGGAACAAAAAAAGATACGTACAAATGGTCAAACCCAACAGAAATACTTTGATCCAAAAGTTTGACTTTTAAAAGTAGTGTCTTATCCCAAAATGTGACTAAGTGACCGGCATATTCAGGGAACATACACAAAAGATAAAAGATATAAGGCCCTGTGATACTTACTTCACAGCCTTACTGAATAAGGATACTGTGTACATCCCCATCTGGCTAGAATTTCTAACCATGAAGGATCCTTCTTTTCCCTGAAAAGGAAGGACAATGTGGAAGACACAGAACATTTGCATTATTCTTGAGAACTCGTTTTCAGCATTCCTCCTTTTCTCACTCCATCTCTTTACAGACCTACCCTGCAAGCTTCAACGCTTCCTTTCCAGGTAATTTTAACCCTCTTTGATAACTTTCCGTTTCGTTCTTGTGCAAGCCTAATCTTTTCATCTTTCCAAAATAAAAATTGAAACCACATACCACTGTATGAATTGGAATCGACTCAATGGCAACAAGGTACCAGCATATCATGCCTTTGGAAGATTTCAGAAAACCAAAGACGCAGAGCAAATTGTTGAAGTTCTACACTCAACTGGTCTTTCTTAATGGCTTGTGCTAAGTGTAAGCATATCTAGATTCAGAAAGCACAGGGAAGAAAAACCGTGAAGGGGAAAAAATAGTGAGGTAGCAAAGTTATCACATTGTCACTAGCACCCACCAAGGAAATATTAGGTGTGTTTGGTGTTTTATTAGATTAAACCATATCCGAGTGTCATTTTGCGGGTCAAAAATAGCTTACAATTGGCAATTTCCTATCAATTAGTAATGAAGGATTATTTCCTATTACACTCGCTCTCTTCTGGCTTAGGTGCTAATGAGCAGTAACAGAGCTGTGGGAGACACTTACATTGATGACCTCCAATACATCACCTCCCTGTGTTTATGATAGGTCCTTGGGTGGTACAGTTTGTGCTTAACTACTAGCCAAAAGGTTGGTAGTTCGAACCCACCCAGAGGCAGCACGGAAGAAAGGCCTAGAGATCTGCTTCTATAAAGATTCCAGCCAAGAAAACCCTATGGAGCTCAGTTCTACTCTGTAACACGTGGGGTCACCATAAGTCGGAACTGACTTGACGGCAATGGGTTTGGTTTTTGGTTTTCTGTATTTATACCCTGTGTGGTCTCCTCTCACATTGACTCTGGGCTTGGCCATGTGACTTGTTTTGATCAATGGGACATTAGTAAACATGATGAAAGCAGAGACTCAATAAACACTTGCATTATGGGGCTCGTCCTCTCGGAACCCCGCCTTGAGATCACCTTGTTGTGAGGAAGCCCAAGTTACCCACGTGGAGAGGCCACACGGAGAAGCACTGAAGTGCCCCAGCTGATAGTTTCAGCTGAGCCCAACCCCCTAGTCAATCCACCAGCTAAATGTAGCTACATGAGTTACCCTAAGCAAAGCCTGCAGAAGCACCTCCTGCCCGGCCAACACGCAGAATCGTGAGAAATCCCAAATCACTGTTGCTTCAAGCCACTGAATGAGAGGGTGGTTTATTGTGCAGCAACAGATGCCAGAAACAGAGGAAGTGGCTAGACATGAAAGGCCTGGTAACCCATGGGCTCAACAACCAACACTATGATGAGTTGACTGCATAATCGGCAGTAAGGATTCTATGAAAAGCCCACTACCCTCTAGGCCCCACCATAGAAAAAAGTTCTAAGAGGCGATTTTAAAGGACAACAAGACTACTTACCTTTTGTCTCAGTAACTGCTCAGACTGTGACCTGGAGATGTTACCTGCAAACCAGCTGCAATGGGAAAGAATTCCACATTTGCGAATTAAGAGTTGTTTAGCTGCATAAATTGTCACTTAACTTTCTAATCTGTAAAATGAGGCATTGGCCCAGATCAACGGGTTCCATACCTGGCTGCTCAAGAGAAACACCAGAGGAGATTTTCAAAAGTATAGACTCCTGAGTCCCCACCACCCATGCTCTGGGGCAGAGCCTGCACATCTGTATTTTTATTTAAATGGGCTGGCGTTTAGGAACATTCAGCCTCCTTCTAAATGACCTCTAAGTTCTCCAACATGTCACCATTTTGAATGAAGGCCAGAGATTAGAGCAATGGCTATGCCAATGGGAAAGTCAGAATTGCCAAGGATGGAAGCTCCTATCTTTCAGCCCTATTGTTTTCTTTAAATAATCTGAGAGAAGCACACTTTATAGCATCTATTTTCAAAATAAATGCTTTTTTTTTGTTGTTCTTGCTGTTTAATTTTTTTTTAATTTTAGAATAGCTTCAGACTTACAGCAAAATTGCAAAGATAGTGCAGAGATTTCCCATGTAGTCCAGACCCAGTTTCCCATCTCATGTCACTTTAAGGACTAAGGTGCGCTTAACCCAAGCCATGGTGTTTTTAATCGCCTTATATGCATGTGAAAGCTGGACAATGAATAAGGAAGACCGAAGAAGAATTGACATCTTTGAATTATGTGTTGGCGAAGAATATTGAATATACCACGGACTGCCAGAAGTACAGCCAGAACGCTCCTTAGAAGCAAGGATGGCGAGACTTTGTCTCACATACCTGGGACATGTTATTAGGAGGGATCAGTCCCTGGAGAAGGTCATCATGCTTGGTAAAGTAGAGGGTCGGCGAAAAAGAGGAAGACCCTCAACAAGATGAACTGACACAGTGGCTGCAACAATGGGCTCAAGCATAACAATGATTGTGAGGATGGCACAGGACCGGGCACTGTTTCGTTCTGTTGTACATAGGGTCACTATGAGTCGGAATCGACCCGATGGCACCTAACAGCAACAACAGCATAGATGCTCAACCCTCAAGGAGGAGTTATCCCCACTTCTTAAGTGTGGGCTGTGCACAGTGACTTCCTTCCAAAGAGTAAATAGAGTGTGGATAGGGGCAAAGAGTAACTTTACAGAAGAGAAACCTGAAAAGCACTACCTCAGCCAGGTGATTGAGGTTATCAACAGTGATAACTCATCTTACGAATATGCACTCTTGATATGAAATGATGAGCGTGGCACTTTACTTCTGTGCTCTTCCAAAAGAAAAAACACATGACCCTGGCCTAAAGTATTAGAAGTGTGGATGGCGAGACTTCATCTTGCTTACTTTGGACACATCATCAGGAAAGACCAGTCCCTGGAGAAGGACATCATGTTTGGTAAAGTAGAAGGTCAGCAAAAACGAGGGAAACTCTCAATGAGATGGATTGAAACTGCGGTTGAAACAATGGACTCAAACATCCCAATGATCGTGGGAATGGTGCAGGATCAGGAAATGTTTCTGTTCTGTTATACGTAAGGTCACTACGAACTGGAGCTGACTCCACCGCACCTAACAACTATAAGAAAAGAAAATGTTTTTTGTTTGTCTGTTTTCAGGATAGCAATAGATAGCATCTAGTTAAGAGCTACGGCTGCTAACGAAAAGGTCCTCAGTTCAAATCCACCAGCTGCTCCTTGGAAACCCTATGGGGCAGTTCTACTCTGTCCTGTAGGATCCCTATGAGTCAGAACCGACTTGACGGCACCTAACAACAACAACATGGTTGTACTGGGCAGGAACAGTTGTGATGAACTGAGAAAAAGATAAAGTAGGAGAGCCAGGGGTCCTCTTTAAATTTTGCCCTTTGTTTCACTAAGTTAGCCAAGACCATCACATCTTACTTTATATGTGGAGCCCAACAGGCCACAGAACTGTTTCTCAAATGAGGTCAACAATGCCTTTCCGCTTTGGCCAATGTGTCATTCTAAGGAAATGGGTAGGGTGTGAGGAGGAATGGGGCATGGGTTTGGGGGCTTGGGAGAACCTTCTGGCCACAAGATAACACCTAAGGGGCAACGAAGTACATGAGGAGAGAGAGTGGAAGGGAGGGGTGGTAGGAGAAAATCAAGGTGAAGGGCATCTCAGAACTTGGTAGGAATGGAAGGGAAATGGTTCTCTGCGTAGTCTCTGTCACATCATGAAAAAGGGGAAGACCCTCAACAAGACGGACTGACACAGTGGCTGCAACAATGAGCTCAAACATAGCAAAGATTGTGAGGATGGCTCAGGACTGGGCAGTGTTTCATTCTGTTGTACATAGGGTGGCTGTGAGTCAGAACCGACTCAACGGCACCTAACAACAACGGCAACAACAACACAGTCTCTGTATTAGCAGATGAGGGAGTGTCAGCTGGTAGGCAGCTCAGCCAAGTACAAAGACCCTTAGACCAGCCAGATAAGCAGCTCAGAAGTCTGGATTCTAAACATAACCTTCCACTAGACTTAACTCAGTCACTTAGCCTATCTGGGCCTTGAATTTCCCCATCCGTAAAATTAGGGAGGTCGGCGCTGGCTATGATAAGCTTGAAAGTCTCTTCTAACTCTACCTTTAGAAATACTCTATAATTGACACTTGAGATAGTAACTGATGTTTTCTTACTAGTTAACATTTTAAGCTAATCAAGGTTAATCAAGGTCTAATCAAAAGATCCTTTAGGGAATATGACCCACGATATATGCATGTGGGGGGCTGAAGGGATGATCAGGAGAGAAGAGAGAAGCCTTTCGAGGAAGAGTGAGTTAATATGTATATCCCCACACGTACCCACGTGCATGCATATACACGCTTACATACACACTCATAAGTACACACATATACATAGTCACACACATACAAAAATACATACATAGACACATTCCCACATATACACACTCACACACATACACACAGGTACACACATCGATACACACACATTCAGACATTGCCCATGTTACAATTTTGCTGAGGCCTGGCTCTGTTTATTTTTAAAACTATTTCAGTATTTCCATTGCAGAGCAGCAAAGGCCTAACCCTAAGGCATGATTCTTCCATCCGAGCTCCCTTAGGCATCTCTTTGATTTTGAAGAGGGCAGGTCTTCCCTGGTAATTTTCCCAAAGTATGTCGCTCACCCACCATTTGAATCTCAAGAAGGTAAGGGTAGAGACTGTCTAAAAGATCAGATCTGGGCTTTCCAAATCAAAGAAATACTTCCAATTCATCTACATGCTAAAGACTAAACTCAGTCTTTTATGTCTTAGTAGGAATCATTTCATCAAATGCTCTCCTGAGGGTAGACAATAGGGAAGTCGGTGAAGAGACTATGCCGCAAAGGGGTGGAGATGACACAGCACGGTTGTCTCCAGTGTGACAGCTATGCCTGGGGCCAGCCTGGGTTAGAGGTAAGAGGGGGAGTGGAAACAGTGGCATGTACTTTGTGAAAGCTCTCACTGACATGTAGTCAATAAATCATTAACGTGCCACTCACATGAAAACATCATCAGAAATATGCATAATCCTAGGGTCCAAGTGAATTGTGTGCTGCTGGGTATCAGGTATCTGACAGATGCACTCTGCCCTATTACTCCCACCTCTCCTTAATGCCTATCTTTACATCCAGGATACAATAACTTGTCCCTGTTTGCAGAATGACAGATTCTCAGATTTTGGAATGGACCTTAATGGCCGCTTAGACCAAGCTGCTCTTCAGTATAGGTAGGGTGACTGAATGCCCATCCTTGTTTGCCCAGAACATTCCAGTTTATGCCTGATGTCCAGGTGTAATTTTTAATAGTGCACTCTTTCTCACTGTAAAGTGTCCCAATTTGGATGTTAAATGACAAGATCACCCTAAGAACAGGAATCTGTCAACATAAATGCTATCGCATTCAAAGGTCTCAGTTGTGGTATGTTGTAAAATTACTGCATAATAAATAACTTCACGACAATCAGATTCAATGTTAATAAGTGTCTTCAAAAGATACCCTGACCAAAGAGGTCCCCAGGGAATAATCATCAGAAAGACCATATCTAAATTTATCTGTCCAGTTTCTAAAAAGACAAAGTTAGATGAAGAGGACTTGGGGTATATGATAAACCCAAGGAATTGGGCAGCCAGTGTAGATAATCCAGACTGGGAAAGTATTTTCAGTGGTAATACTCTAGCTCATTGTCACTGGTCATCTAGATAATTAGCCCAGAACCTCACAAGAGTTTGCCCGTGTAGATACAGCCTCCTGAGCAATTCTGAGCCGTCTGTTTTAATGCCTTTGAAGAACAGAATGGAAACATCCATGACTAGCGTTAAAGCGACACAGAAGGCTTTCAACACTCACTCATGGTCATCCAGGTTTTCCCCTTCTTCAGATGAACTTGACTCAGGGATCCCCCTTAAGAAAAGGAGAAACAACGTGAATGTGAAAAACCACCAAGAAATAATACCAGTGCCTAGCAGTGCAAAATCAAATCCCATCCTGCTTTTATCCACATAAATAAAATTTAGACTGTTAAGTTTCCCTTTTTGCACTTGGGGAGGTATCAGCAAAGTGAAGAGAGAGGGTTGCTCAAAATTTGGACTCATGTGTGGTAATGAGAGAATGACTCTTTGAGCCAAGAGGTCTCCAGGAGATCCCCATAATTCGGATTGATTTGACTCTTCCAGTAGAGTGGGCTCATGAAATAGATGAAGACTCTCTCAGTGACAGTGTAGTATAAACAGATATCTCTGGCTGTGTATGGGGCTGTTCTTAGGGAAGAGTTATTCCACTCTGGGATGGTTTTCCTCCTGTTAGAGATGCCCGAATCAGGTGTGTTGATGTTCACGCTAACACTTGAGTATATCAGGAATATTGTTGTTAGGTGCTGTTGAGTCAATTTCAACTCATAGCACCCATGTGGCAGAGTAGAACCATCCCATAGGGTTTCCTAGGCTGTAATCTTCATCGTAGCAGATCGCCAGGTCTTTTCTTTCTCTTGTGGAGCTGCTGGGTGAGTTGGAACCGCCAACCTTTCTGTTAGCCACTGAGCGCTTAGCCGTTGCATCACCAGGGCCCCTTATATCATGAATATGGATAGGGAAATCAGAGTGAGGACAACCGTAACCCAAAAGTCATAGATTTAGACCCCTGCTCCATGAATTGGGGGCCAATTCAAGGGCAGCTAACAGCAATGGGTGCAGAGAGGCCAACTACGTGGCTTTTTGGTTTATATTTACCTTAAACGTAAAGCCTAGTTGTAAAATTCCTGCAAATATGGTTAGTTTTCCTGCAAGTGGAGGCCAATAATGCATGCAAAGGAGTATCTGAATTGGACTTACCATGACATCTTTGAGGTGCTCTGGGTTACAACATTTCTTTCCCTTTGGTTACTGCCTGCAAAATCTTCATTGCTACAAAAAGATATGGTTTCTACATTTATATTTATTCATAAATTTTGAATGACAAAAGTAATTTTGTTCTGCTATTCTTTGACTTTATTTCACATTGTGACCCACACATTTCACTTGTTTGGAAATGTAAGCTCATGAGTCATTTTTGCATTTTGGTCCTTGCATGGACTCCGCTAGAAAGCAGCCGTTTGACCATTTTCTTAAATGAAAGGGAATTGTTAATAATGACTCATAATGACCCCAAACAATAGAAAACCAGAATCAAGAAATCATCTTGACTAGTTTTGCCCTGATTATCTTGTAGATATGCAAGCGTTCTGTCGTTTTTACGCTTTAAAATAAGTTGTAATTTTCCTGTTGGTTACTGTGATAACAATGAAAAGTCTCTAGAACCCTCCATCTGGACGCAGATGGAGCTACAGGATTTTACCACCCATCGTTTTATCTCTTTTTCTTTTGGGTATTAAGCAGAGGCTGAGGAAGGGCCTGCCTCTCAAAGTCCAAAGGCCATTTTATCTGCAATGTAAGACCCATTTCCTGTTTGCCTTCATTGCCCAGGTTCTTTTTCAAAAGCACACTTCATAGTGACAAGCTTCCTTAACAAGGAAATGCTCCTCTGGCTCCATTTCCAGAAACGCCTGGAGAAAACCCTGCACACTAGAATGCTCCCTCCTAGCCTTCCCAAAGAGCCTTGCCAGCTGAGATAGCTTTTTGAATTCATCTCTTCATAAGAAAATCCATATTTTTAAGAGGCTAAGTAATTTAGTGAGTCCTTGGGTGATGCGAATAGTTGATGCACTCAGCTGCTAACTGAAAGGCTGGAAGTTCAAGTCCACCCAGAGGTGCCTCAGAAGAAAGGCCTGGAGATCTACTTCCCAAAAAATCAGCTATTGGAAACCCTGTAGAGTGCAGTTCTACTCTGACACACATGGGGTCGCCATGAGTCGGAGTCGACTTGATGGCAACTGGTTACTGGTTTTTTAAAAGAAATTTATTTAGCCTTCTTGTTTTTAAGAACACATGGAGAATGCTCATCAATAGAGCATCACTTAGGTTTACCCATATAATAGGATATTATAGCCCATTGCCATCGAGTCGATTCCGACTCATAGCGACCCTAGAGGACAGAATAGAACTGCTCTATAGGATTTCCAAGGAGCGGCTGGTGGGTTCGAACTGCCGACCTTTTGGTTAGCAGCTGAGTTCTTAACCACTGTGCCACCAGGGCTCCTAATAGGATATTATACAGCCATTAAAATAGTGAGGTATCAGAACTAAAACAATATACGAGCCCAACTCTTCAGACAAAGATTAGACTGGACTATGGGACATAGGAGCTGGTTAAATGGACATGGGGAATCAGGGGTGGACAGGAGGAGTGTGCTGTCACAGTATGGGGAGAGCAATTTGAGTCACATAACAATGTATGTATAAATTTTTGTGTAAGAGACTCTGTTAGCCCAAAACTAAAAACCATTCCCAAGGCCAACTCTTCAGACAAAGATTAGACTGGACTATGGGACATAAAATGATACTCGTGAAGAGTGGGCTTCTTAGCTCAAGTAGATACATGAGACTAAATGGGCAGCTCCCGTCCGGAGGTGAGATGAGAAGGCAGAGAGGGACAGGAGCTGGGTGAATGGACACAGTGAGGCATTTGCTTTAGGTAAAAATGAAGGGAATGCACAGAATAAAGGAACAAAATGACAAGGGAGAAAAGAAAGACAAGAGACACACGGTGAGTCAGAAAGATGCTCTGCAAGCACGTTTGGGGAAAGACAGACATCAGTACCGTTCACAATGTTGCTAACTGCATGAGAAGATGGTGACCAGTGGACAACATAATGGGGAGGAGGTCTGAGGCTGCCTTTCTTTATGCTCATCTCTCAATTGGATCCAACATTTATTGAGCATCAGTTGTGGCCAGATCATAGAGACAGACACAATTTAGATATTGCCTTCAAGGTACTTTCAATTGGCTTTTGGTAGAATCTTTAGGCTGAGAAGACTAATCAGCTCAGCCATGGCCTTGCCTGGAATGCTATCCAGCTTTTGGCTAGTGACGTCAAAACACATTACAAAAATAAGCCCACGCTAAGCTCTTTCATGGAAAAGATACATGTTTAAGATTCGGTGTTCTCAATACTGGGGAAGCCAGCACAACTTGTACAAGGAAAGGTCACGGAAGCTCCATAGACACATCCAAACTCCCTGAGGGACTGAATTGCTGGGCGGATGGCTGTGGGGACCATGGTCTCGGGGAACATCCAGCTCAATTGGCATAACCCAGTTTATAAAGACAATGTTCTACATTCTACCTTGGTGAGTAGCGTCTGGGGTCTTAAAAGCCTGTGAGCAGCCATCTAAGATACTGCACTGGTCTCATCCCTTCGGGAGCAAGGGAGAATGAAGAGAACAGGATACAAGGAAAAGATTAGTCCAAAGGACTAATGGACCACAACTGCCAAGGCCTCCACCAGACTGAGTCCAGTACAGCTAGATGGTGTCCGGCTGCCACCAATGACTACTCTGACTGGGATCACAATAGAAGATCCTGGACAGAGATGGAAAAGGATGTAGAACAAAATTCTAACACACACAAAAAAGACCAGATTTACTGGCCTGAAAGAGACTGGAGAAACCCTGAGAGTCTGGCCTCCAGACACCCTTTTAGCTCAGTAATGAAGTCACTCCCGAGGTTCACCATCCAGCCAAAGATTAGACAGCCCCATAAAACAAAACGAGACTAATGGGGCACAACAGTCCAGGGACAAGGACTAGAAGGCAGGAGGGGACAGGAAAGCTGGTAATAGGGAAGCCAAGGTTGAGAAGGGACAGTGTTGACATGTCGTGGGGTTGTTAACCATTGTCGTAAAACAATATGTGTACTAACAGTTTAATGAGAAACTATTTGTTGTGTAAACCTGCATCTAAAGTACAATAAAAAAATTAAAATATAAACAAATAAAACATTTCCACACCACTGGGGGGGATAAAAAGATTCTGTGTTCCGGAATGTGGGGTTATTTTGGGGGAAGAGGGCAGGAAAGGGGATGGAATAAAATGCCTAAGTATTACTTGGATCATTCGCTAAGCAGAAAGTCTACGTCTCTGGGCCCCAGTGGGGCCTCTGATTCCCAGGCTTCTAGCTCAAGCACTGAACATTTTCTGAGAGGACAGCTTCATCTAAGTGAAGGCCTGTATTGACAGCTTTGAGGCGGAGGTCCAAGCCAGGGGTGGGAAATGCCTACTCTACATTCTGTACAGTCAGCCTGAAAGCTGAGGTTTACCTTTTCAATTTTCTTACTTGCCACCAGTCAGGGTAGTCTTCCCTTGGAACATACTGCATGCTGACATTTGGCTGGGAGCCATAGTTTTTCTTTGAGTCTCTGTCATACTGGGCTACAGTGGTACTTGAAGATGGCACATCCATTCTGAGAACAGGAACCGCCCGAGGAATCTTCAGCTTTGGAGGACAAGAGATTTTCATACATCACAGGAAGTCACAGATTCATGTACCGGGAACTAACAACCAAGGTATATCAGCTCTTCCCGAGGTTCACAGTTCAGCCAAAGATTAGACAGCCCCATAAAACAAAATGAGACTAATGCGGCACAACAGCCCGGGGATAAGGACTAGAAGGCAGGAGGGACAGGAAAGCTGGTAATAGGGAACCAAAAGTTGAGAAGGGACAGTGTTGACATGTCGTGGGGTTGCTAACCAATGTCATAAAACAATATGTGTACTAACTGTTTAATGAGAAACTATTTGTTCTGTAAACCTTCATCTAAAGTACTATAAAAAAAATTAAGAAAAAAAAAAAAACCCAAAGTATATCAGCTCTTAAATTTGAAAAGAAAAGAAGCAATACTAAGTATTGGAGAGAATATGGAGCAACTGGATCACTCATACTTTGCTGGTTGGAGTATGAAGTGGTACAACCACATAGGAAAGTTGTTTGCAAAATCTGCTAAAATTGGACCTGCACATACGCTATGACCCAGAAATTCTATATGTATTCCCAACAGTAACGTGAAACCAAAAGACATACAAAAAAATTTTCATAACAGAATTATTTCAATTAGGTAAAAACTGGAAATTACCTAAATACACATCAAGAGGATAAAAAGAATAAACATATTTGGTTGTGGTAGGCTAATAATGGCCTCCCAATGAGCTCCATGTCCTAACCTCAGAACCTGTGAATATGTTACCTTACATGGTAAAAAGAGCATTGCAGATGTGATTTAGTTAAGGATTTTGAGATGGGGAGATTATCCCGGATTATCAGGTGGGCCCAGTGTAATCAGAAAGGTTCTTACAAAAATGTGAGGACAGAAGTCAGCGAGGAGAGAGGATGCTACACTGCTGGCTCTAAAAATGGAGGAAGTGGCCACAAGCCAAGGAATGTAGGCAGCCTCTAGAAGATGGAAAAAACAAGGAAACGGATTCGCCCCTGGAACCTCCAGAAAGAGCACAGCCCTGCAGATCCATTTTCAACTCTGACATCTAGATTTATAAGATAGTAAATTTGTGTTGCTTTGAGATACTAAGGTTGTGGTAATTTGTTACAGCAGCAAAGGAAACTAACACAGTGGTATAGTCACAAAGAGGTTGCTAGACAGCAATGAGAATAAACTACAACCACATACTAAGAAATGGGCAGATCTCATAAACTGAACAAGACAGACAATAAAATTCTATATACTTTATGATTCTGTTTATACAAAAGTCAAAAACGGTCAATCTACGGTGTGATATGTTAGGATAGCGATTACTCTTGGCAGGATGTGGTGACTAAAAGGAATATGAGGTTGCCTTTGGAGTTCTGGAGCCCTGGTGGTGCAGTGGTTAAGAGCTTGGCTGCTAACCAAAAGGTAAGCGGTTCAAATCCACCTAGTGCTCCTTGAAAATCCTATGGGGCAGTTGTACTCTGTCCTATAGGGTCCCTGTGAGTTGGAATTGACTCGAAAGCAACGGGTTTGGTTGTTTTTTTTTTGTGGGGGTGGCGGGGGGAGGGTTCTGGTGATGTTCTCCTTCTTAATCTGAATTTGGGTTATACAGGTGTGTTCAGTTTGTGAAAATTCATTAAGGTGAACACTTAAGACTTGTCTACTTTTCTAAGCACATGTTATACTTCAATTAAAAGTTCAGATACAAATATATATCAGCTCTGAAGATCATTCTTTTTCACACCATACTTTATTTTTCTTTTCTCAGGGTATATGGTTTATTTGGCTGAAGCTTTGATATCCTGGAAATGTTAGTTATGCAGAGCACTGTTATTTATGAGCTGTGAGATGGGTTCTCTCCAAAGATAAAACACAGTGGAAAGTTCCCTCAACGGAAAACTGAACAGAACAGCTGCACAGCTGATTTTTATTTCCTTGGCTCAGGAAAGTAAACCCTCTACTGAATTCTCTGGTCAAAGGAAAACACGCTTTTCATGATTCCCTCTCAGACCCCAGGTTCATTTGAGCTGCTGTAATCAAAACAGACTTCTGGAACCCTCGGCCACTGATTTACCTGACTGATAATTTCCAACACATTTCCCAAAGAATTCCTTACCAGAGACTAGATGCAGTGGTTTCTGGCTCTGCTCTTAGATTTGTTTAAAACAAACTTTATTGAGGTATAATTTACATACTATACAGTTCACCTTTAGACGTGTACAGCTCAATGACTTCTTAGTAAATCTATCACGTTGCACAACCTTCCCCACAATCCAGTTTCAGGACATTTTCATCATCTCAATAAGATCCCTCATGCCCAGTTACAGTTAATCCCCATTCCCACCCACTGTCCCAGGCAACCGCTAATCTACCTTCTGTTTGTATACATTTGCCTATTCTGGACATTGCTCTTGGATATTATTACAGGGTCATGTTTGTCAAGCTTCAGGACTGAAGCAGGTATCCAAACCAAAACAGCAACGTCCCCCATAGCAAAGTAAAAACTCCAAACCATAATAATGGATTGTTTTTCTACCCTTCGGGTTGGTTCACAAAAATTATATGAGTTTTACTTAGATAGAAAGAAAGACGTGTGTGTTTGTGTGTGTAGCTAAAAATAACTACCCAAGACACCGTAAACCTGATGGGTGGGTGGAGACAATGGTGTCACTAGAGTTGGTGTCACCCAGTGTGGTAACTCATGGTGTCACCGCCCCCCATGCTAATTACCACAATATTGTAGCTGAAACACCAGAAATTTGACAAAATCAACGACTATAAAAACACTGGCAGCAACGGAAGCAATGAAATCACGTGATTGGAAGCGTCACTGCAATTGGGTAATAATGACAGCTCTGACCGGAGCGCATTAGGAGGATCAAAAAGTAAATTAGCATAGAGTTTTAGCCTTGTAGGTGTATTGATACACGTAAGCTGGGTTTACGAAAAATGTTTTTGTTGTTATAATTAACTACAGGGATATTGTTATAAAAATAATAAATTTCAGCTGAAACGCTGCACAAAAATTTTATAGACAGTCATTTTGGTGTCACCCCCGCTGACAAGGTCACCATTGGGTGGAGGTGCCCCCTTAGTTTCAGGCGAGCTTCTTGAGAAGTACCAGGAGGCTATTTTATATGTCTCCTGGCATTTGAGGAAGCTGGGACCTGCCTGGGAAATCTAAAAGCAGGAAGCTGTGGCTATGAACCCAAGGAGGCAGAGCAGGAGAGTGCTGGTCTGTTCTCTGACAGCAAGCCGCATCCAGTTTTAGTAACAAGAGCAAAAGGTTTTGTTTGTTTTCCTATAGGCCAACTCCACCCTTGGGAGAGAGCTGGCCGGGTGCCATCGTGAAAGCAGCTCTGTCCCAAATGGCTGAACTGACCTGGTAGAGGAGTTGAAGACTGGAAACCTAAGAGCTGTGGATCAAGACATCTCCTCTGTCATACAATGGTATTTGGTGATGCTCCCCACCGGGAAGCTCATGAAAGTCCCCCGCAAGAGAAAGAATCAGCATCGAGAAACTGTCTCACCCAGAAGCCACCACTAGCAAATCATGATGGGGCCAGCCACGTGTGAGTGTCTCTTTTTCATTAGACCCGCTCTTTCTGAGCCCCGTCCCTGAAAGGGTCAGAAATCTCAGCCTCCCCGTGGTCCCCACCCCAATGCAGGCGGCCAGCTGATGCAGACCCGAGCTAGATGAAGGGGAGAAGTTTTAACTTGGAATGATACTTGGAGTCGTATGATTATAACATTGGATGGGCCAATTTAGAGACTGTTCTCAGAACTACTAGTAATTGGGGAGATTTTTATCCAAGAGTGACTGGAAAAGCAATGGAGCTGCCTGTCTCAGGGAGACTTCATCCAGGGGCAGAGAAGAAAGCCCACTGAATGACTTTGAAGAAATGACCGAAGAAAAGAATTCAATTGTTTTCTGCTTGTGCCCTAGGGAGTCTTTGGCCGTGCTGGTGGGCGGGGAGGAATAACAGCTAATAACAGCTGCATGTTATGTGTAGATGCCTTCTTAGAAGCTTTTCCCACATGAACATGTGGGTTTGGTTTTTTTTTTGTTTTTTTTTGTTTTTTTGGAGGGGGGTGAATAGTTGTGTGCTTAGTGGTTGGAAAAAGGCCCACTAATTAAAAACAAAATAGTAAAATGGTGCTATATTGGAATCCATTATTTGAAAATGCTCATTGCTATTGGTAACCTATGTTTTTTCTCTCTTTGCTGAACAGTCGGAATGAATCCCACATTTTCTAGTCTTGATCTGGCAACTCTTGGTTTATTTAATATATCCTGACTACGAAAAAAAAAAAAGTTTTCATGTTGACTTACCACACTTTCTGGGAAGATGGGAGGTCTGTGCGTCTCTTCCTTGGTTGCAATGTGCAGATCAGCATCTGGAAAGTAAAACCAAGTAACGTCAGAGGGAACTTTAAGTTAAACAAAGCAAAACACCCAATGCTATGAATCCAAAGAATGATCCAGTTTATGTGAACAATCCTCCAGATTAAATGAATTTAGACACAACATCTGGAGTGATGCTGTACCTTTCCTGTATAATACTCAACTCAAACACCACTCCTTCACCCGAGATTATTGATATCCTCCCAAATCTGCCTAAAAAAAAAGTCAACCTCCTCTAAATCCTATAGTCTATTAATTTATACCTCATTTCCACCTTGTATTTGACCCATAGATATCTAATCTAGTCAGGTAGTGTATACTAGCTACGGGTCAGAATCCATGTCTGATTCCTCTTTGGCCCATACAAGATGTCTGAATCATTCTTAGAGATCAATAAATAGCTGATGAATAAATGAACAAATCTATTGCATGTTCTTTTTCTGTTTCTAGGATAATTGCTGATGTGTCTACCCCCAGATGTAGATAGATGTCCAGGCTACGAGTGTGAAGGCACTGTATGACTTATAAATAGAGTGATCATATATGGCTTATTGTCCAAACTGGGACTCTTTTGACAGTGAAAGACACTTTTAATAATTATGCCAGGATATTAGGCACAGAATGGGACTGTCCCAAACAAACGGAGGTATATGGTCAACCTACTTATAGACCATGTACCCTGGAAAGAGGGTGGACTAGGACATCTTGGAGACAGAGAAAGAAGCAAACACACCCAACTGTTTCCTTCCTAGTAGCTATGCCCATGGGCTACCCAGTAGGTCAGCGATGGAGGCCAAGGGAATAAATTATACTTGGATACCTGTTGCCGTCGACTAGATTCTGCCTCAGCAACACTATAGGACAGAATAGAGCTGCCCCATAGGGTTTCCACGGCTGTAAATCTTTACAAAAGCAGACTGCCACATCTTTCTCCCGTGGAGCGGCTGGTGGGTTCGAACTGCCAACCTTCTGGTTAGCAGCTGAGTGCTTAACTGTTGTGCCACCAGGGCTCCTTCTAAAATATGTAAGTCCCTCATTTCCCTAGGACTATAACTGAGTAGAATCTGATTGCACTTAAAGTAAACCCTTCTCTACCTTCTCCTGATATCATTAACAAGTCAACAAACATGGACAATACGATAAACCACTTTAAATAGATCTTTTAAAAGGTAGCCATCCCTCATTTTGGTATATTAGGTGATTAAAAGTGTTACTTAAATTTTATCCTTTCATCTCTTTTAAGAACTTTTTTTTGTTTATGATTTGTATGATTTCTAAGAAATGAGAATGCATCTTCTTATCATGTGGGAAACCTAGCTGTTTGGCCCACGGTGATGTGTTCACTATATTCTGCCTGTTTGGAGGTTTATCTTAAACCAGGGAGAATTATGAGAGGAAATAGCTCCTTGCTTGAGTCATGGTTCTACATTTTAAAATATTCCTCATGAAATGCAAAAATGGCAGATGTTAATATTGTTCTTGTTTTTAATGAACAGGACTCAATTGACCCTAGAATTAGACCTCATTTGCCAGATTGTATCTGCGAGGCTGGATTTTCATGATGGCAGCTAATCTGGAAGATCTTGTTTTCCTGAACTGGTGAGCTGTTCTGGCATCTGGCGGGTTTGGCTTAATTGGGCACCATTCACCCAGGGTCTAGCCTAACAGAGGGTCACATTACATGCTTCCCAGAGGGTGCATCCGGGGGCTGCTTTGCAACTCTGCTGGCAGCACAGAAACTTCCCGTCCACGAAGAACCCGCTATGGTACTTGATCAGCAGATGAGGGTTGCCCCTTATCTCTGGGGAGCAGGCAGAAAGAAAACAAGATATGAGCAAATATTGGCCCAACAGAAGAAACACATTTAGCGAGCACTGTTATCACAGAACAATGGAAACCTCATTTTGCCAGCAACCGGGATAAGAGCAAATGGTTCCGGGAGGATATAAGTCTCTCACTCAAGTTGATAAGCCAAAAAGAAAGAAAGAAAAGTCTGATCATGTGTACAGCGAGAACAACACAATAACATACATCCGTCTTTTTAAAAATAGCAAAAAATATTCATATTCATGTATGGCTTAGCTTAGTATCAGGATTTTAGAAATACATTCCTAAAGGAAGTTAGTGGGTTAGGGCACGTGGTGTATGATTGTGGCAGAAGGAGGTGAGAGGGCGGGGCTAAAGCTTAGCAGAAAAACTTCTAATAAACGTATACTTACCTTCCACTTTTTATTCTGAAAAATTCAAATGTACAGAAAAGTTACAAGAATAGTACAATGAGCATCCGTATACCCTTTGCCTATTGTTGGTGTGTGCCTTCGAGTCGATTCTGACTCATAGCGACCCTATAGGACAGACTAGAACTGCCCCCAGAGGGTTTTCTAGGCTGTAATCTTTACAGGAGCAGGTCACCAGGTCTCTTCTCCCAGGTAATGGCTGATGGGTTTGAATGGCCAATCTTTTCGGTTAGCAGCCGAGTACTCAACTGTTATGTCACCAAGGCTCCTACCCGTTACCTAGATGATCAATTGTTAACTGCCACATTCGCTTTGTCTCTTTCTCTCTGTACATACGTATTTCTTCTTTTTCTTCTTCTTATGTTACGCTTAAACATTTGAGAGTAAGTTGCAGACATTACGATCTAAACAATGTCACCCGTGTAACATGTAACTTCTACGAAGAAGGACATTCTCTTATTCCGGAAATTTGACATTGATACAATACTATTATTTAGTGTACATCTCGTATTCCAATTTTTGCCAATTGTCCCAATAATGTTCTTTATAATCTTTTAGTTTTTCTGATCTAGGATCCAATCCAGAATCACACCTGACATTTAATTATCTTGTCTCTTTAGTTTCCCTTGAATCTGGAATGTTTTCTCATTCTTTCTTTCTCTTTTATGACAGACATATTTACAGTAAGGTATAAATGATTTATGGGGTGCCTTAGTTTCCTAGGTCTGCTGTAACAAAATACCACCAAGTGGGTAGTTTCAAGCAACAGAAATTTATTGTCTCAGTTCTGGAGGCTGGAAGTCCGAGATTAGGGTGTTGGCTATGTTACTTCCTTCTGAGGCTCAGAGGGAGAGTCTGTTCCATGCCTCTCTCCTAGCTTCTGGTAGCTCCAGGCGTTCCTTGGCTTCCAGCTGCAACGTCACATGGTGTTCTTTCTTCTGTCTCCCTGTCTCTAAGTGTCTTTTCCTCTTTTATAGGGACACCAGTCCTATAGGATTAGGGCCCACCTTGGTCCAGTATGACTGCGGGTTAACCTAACCGACAACACCTTCAAAGACCCTATTTCCAAGCAGAGTCACATTCACAGGTACAGGGGTTAGGACTTCAACATATTTTGGGGGGACACATTTCAATCCATAACACGGGGCTACTTTTCTAGGAGTATATGTATTTAAAAAACTAACCATGGTCAGACCCAAAACAACAAATATTGTACGATCCCACTTCTGTGAAATATTAGACTAAGCAAATGCATAGAGACCAAAGTTTATCAGTGGTTACCGGGGCGAGAGGGAGGAGGTAATGGGAGTTCTTGCTGAAGGGGTACTGAGTTTCTGTTTGGGGTGATGAAGAACTTTTGGAAATGGATAGTGGTGATGGTAGCACAACACGGTGAATGTAATTAATGTCACTGAATTGTACACTAAAAAAATGATTATGATGGCAAACTTTTTGTTATATGTTTCACACAATAAAATAAAATAAAAACAGCTAACCGTGGGGATAGGGCAATGTTTAATCCAAAGGAATGAAACTCTAATATTGGAGTATGATCTTGTGTCTATAACAAATTAGCCTCTCTTGAAATACAACAGAGAAACCTACAAGGCTTTAGTAGAGAACAACTCAAGAAGAGTCTCCAGGTGGGAAGGGCTGGTTCTACTTGTGGCTTCAACTCTTCCCCCCTTGAGTCTATGTTCATTTTGAGGATTTCTTAATTTAATCCCAAAGGAATTCAGCTCCTCCTTTATAACCCTGACTCAAGGAAGTATATGGGGATAATAATAACTATTTTGCAGAGTCGTTGGGAGGATATGAGATAATGTATGTAAACTACCCAGCACAATGTTTGGCCCAGAGTAGGTGTTCAATAAACATCACTAAAGTGGGCCTTAGTGATGCTGTTCCCTTAGTTTAACTCAGCTCAGCTTAGCTGAAAATGCTGGCATTAAAAAAAAAGAAAGAAACTTTACTAAATATTAATGAGAACTAAAGGGAAGTTATTACAGAAATCACAAAAAGCAAAAGAAGTTAAGATTACAAAATACAAGTTTCTGGTCTTGGTCCCCAGTGGCCATTGTAATTTGTTAGGCACATTACCTGCCTTCCTGCTCTCTAAGCTCCTGGTCTCCACATGTCAGAATCCCCATTACTTCCTACTACATGGATTTCGTTTCCTAGGTAACTAATCCTTTCCCCAACCAAGTCTGAAAGTCCACATTGCAGCATTTCAACACTTAATAATGACACTAAGCAGAGCTCATGTATTAACATGTGTATACCAAAAAACCAAACTCACTGCTGTCGAGGCAATTCCTACTCATAGTGACCCTATGGGACAGAGTAGAACTGCTCCATAAGGTTTCAAAGGAGCAGCTGGTGGATTCAAACTGCTGACCTTTTGATTAGCTGCCGAGCTCTTAACCACTGTGCCACCAGGGCCCCATATATATGTATACCACTTAACATTTACATAGTTTTTTCTCCTTTCAATATATCATCTCATTTAACCTGTCCAACAACCCCGGAGACAGCTATTAGCTGTCATGGCTCTTATAAACGTAGGTAAACTGGATTCAGAGGTGGTGTGGTAGGCTAATAATGGCTCTCAATGATATGTTTATGTCCTAATCCTTGGAACCTGCAAATGTGACATTATTTGGAAAAGGGTCTTAGCAGATGTAATTAACTAAGGATCTTGAGATGAAGAGATTATCTAGATTACCCAGATGGCCCTAAGTCCAATCACAAATGTCCTTATAAGAGAGAGACAGAGGGAGATATGCACAGAAGAGAAAGTGATGTGAAGACATAAGCAGAGATTAAAATGATGTGGCCTTAAGCCAAGGAATGCCAGCAGCCAGAAGATGGAAGAGGCAAGAAATGGATTCTCCTCTAGGGCTTCTAGAGGAGCACAGTTCTGCCAACACCTTGATTTCATACTTCTGGCCTCCAGAACTGTGGGAGAATAAATTTATGTTGTTTTAAGCTACCCAGTTTGTGGTAATTTGCCACAGCAGCCAGAGGAAACTAATATAGGTGGCATACTTGCTCAAGCTCACAAACCTGGTAAAGAGCAGACCTGGGACTCAGCCCCAAGCTTTTTCGACTACACTCTCATGCACTGATACCAGCTTCCCTACCAAATTCCATTCAACTTTAATTTTTGGAAGGAAGGGCATACTTCATCCACATCAGGTCAGCTGAATTCAGAACTATGGTAGTTGATACTCCTTGAGTTCCCACTGAAGATCCGCCCAAGCTTTCCACTTGTGGGTTACCATCCAGGAAATTCTATGTCTACCTCGGTTTGTAAAGCCTGAGCCAAACAGTAGGCACAAAAAGAGAAGTCATTTTATAGCAGTGAAACTTGGTAGGGGAGAGGTTTTTGAGTAAGAGAACCTCTTTGTTTTCCTTTGGCCAGCTTGGTTGACCAACTTGACAGTCAGTCTGCATTCCTCCCCTCTTCTCTCATGCTACCTTCAATCTGACCTCACTGAGCTGCTGCATTAGTCCTGGACTGCCTACCTCTGAACTTGTTGCCATGAGAGAAGAACAAACGTGTATTTGTTTCAGCAACTGTTTGGTGTCTTGTTACCTGCAGCCCAAAGCATTACTAACTGATATAAATCACTTATCGTGCATATGGCAGCCCTAGTGATGGAGTCTCACTACAGTTTTATGAGAGGCTGAGAGATGCACTTTCATGTCTTTCTCTGATCTCCTTTTACCTTCCACATGCTAGCTGCCCAGGGTCCACCCAAACCTGCCCACCTTATATAGCCCCCCAAGGACCCAACAATAGGGTACCTAGGGTAGACCAAAAACTGCATACAGGAGCTATCTACCCAGCAACTGCCCCCAGGAAGTTCCCCCAAGAGGAGACTGAATTGGAAGCAGCATCTCAAAGCCCCTTCTGGAAGTCCCATTATAACCACAGTGACTCATTTTTGTGTGTAAGACATTTTTATATATGAGTCAGTCATTTGTGGTTAATGACCATGCCCAGAATAAATGTGATCTCCTATTTTACAGGTCAGGAAGCTGACAGCCAGAGATATCAGGTGGTTTTATTAGATGACACAGTAAAGCAGGACTTGGATGTCTGTTTGCCTGACTCTGAGAGGGATGCTCTTCTCACTTCAGCAAGCTGGCGGGAACAAAGGGAGCCTTCTTTCCCCACTGGCCCACTTGACTATCCTACAGAACAGGTTGCTGAACCTGTTCATGCAAAGGGAAAAACGATGTGTTTACACAGAAGTGGAGTAGGTGGTTGTCTGAAGCGGTGTAATTTGATGTGCATTGACAAAGAGCCATCATCTAAAACGTAAATGAAACCAAATAAAATCTTCCCCCATCTAGGAGCTTAATACCTGAAATTCCGTCAATAAAGTTATTCGTTTGAGTTAAATATTGTCCTCGCTCCATTACACTACTCTAAAATAAAATATTGCGGTAAGGAACACCATAGTGCCAAATTACTAACCACGATTCTCTTTCTTCTACCAGAGGTTGGTACCAGGGCAGCTGAAGAATCACTGAATAAAAGTATCGATGAATCCCCCGTTTTGCCTAGTATTTATACTGGTTAAAAAGTTGAGTTTGGGTAATTGAATCCCAAGACCTCCATTATTAGGTATGTGGTATTGGGCATGTTTATTTAACTTCAGTCATCTGAAAACAAAACAAAACTAGGTCTCCGGGTGGTGCAAATGGTTTGCTCTAGGCTACTAACTGAAAGGTTGGCAGTTCGAGCCCACCTAGCGGTGCTGTGAAAGAAAGGCCTGGTGATATGCTTCCGTAAAGATTACGGCCAAGAAAACACTATGGAGCTCAGTTCTACTTTATAACACATGGAGTTGCCATGAGTCCGAATTAACTTGAGGGCAATGGATTTATCTGAAAAATGGAGACTAATATTACCCTTTTCCATAGAGTTGTTGAGAGGATTACCTAAGAAAATGTTTTAAAAGTGCTTGACACAGTACCTGGCAAATGGTAAGTGCTTAGTAAGTTTTGCACATAACAGCTTCTGTAAACATTGAAAGAACGGTAGCTATAGGACCTGGCACAGCCTCGAGGTGACCTAGACTTTGCCCTGGTAAAGACAAGCACAGTGGGTGAAGGGTAGGTGGCCTGGCATCCTTCAAGAGGCTGGGAAGGCACAATAGCCAGCTCTGTGCTGAGCAGGAAAGGGAATCTGACCCACAGGCTTCCTCTATGTAACAATGAGAATGAAAATTGAGGATGAGCTTGGCACGTTGCCCGAGGCTGGTAGGAAAATCAGTAGATTCTCTGTTGGCATCATGTCCTTTTACTGCCGTATTGTTCTTCCACCAAGCCTCAGAAGGGCTCAAACAATGACTCCATTTTATGACTTTTTTTAAATTACCTTTCTGTAATGCTTTCAACCACTGACTTCGGCTCTCTTCATTCGACGCATAGATGTAGAGAAGCCCTTCTTTATAGACGATCTGGAAAGGAAGAGACGTGATGTGTTTGGGTATAATGGCATCATAGTTCACCCTCGTGTAACTGCAGATTTTCTATTATCCAAAAGAAACCTTAAGTTTTCTTATATGATCTATATTAGCTCTGGAATTAAGTGGAAAAAAAGTTCTACACAGATCTTTTGCCTCTGTCCCTCAATTTTATTTTTATCCAAGACACTCCTATACTTTGGAAAATCAAAAATCACAACGATGATGAATCAGACGTTACAGGTGTCTTAGAATATTCTAGTCCACCTACCTGCCCAGTGCATGACTCCCTTTACAACCCCTTGGAAAACGTTTATCTGCTCTATTCGTACAAATACCTCCAGGGATAGAATGTCCTCTACTTGGCTATGTTCACCATCCTTGTCAATTTCTATATAGTGTAATCATTACACAGTTGGTGTTTATATTGAGTAAAAGTACATCTTCCTAGTACTTCAGTCCATTGGGTCAAGTCCCATTCCAGAAATCCCCCAGAATAAGTCACTTCCTATTATTTAAGACACTTTTTTAACATTTGAAGATTACAACTTCTTCCTCCCATCCATCTCTAATTGACTCAACTGTTGTTGGTAAATAATACAGACCATTTTTAGAACACTTACTAGTTGCTGGGCTCTTCACCAGCTACTTTAATATTTCAACCCTATTTTGACTTGATGAAAAAATATGATTATGCTCATATGCAAATGAGGAAACAAACTAAGGGAGAGGTTGAGGACGCTGTCTATGGTTGCATAAATATAAAAGGGGAAGCTGGGAGCTCTGTGGGGCTCCAAAGCCTTTGTTCTTTTGAGTACCCTATGCCTCTGTGATGCAAGTTTAAATCATATTTCATTTTGCATGCTATCCCCTGGTTTCTCCCAATTGAGTACTTTTTTTTTTTTTAAATAGGAAGTATGGATTGTTCATCAATTAGATTATTTTATTTTTTATTTTTTTATTTTTGGCCACAAGTCCTTAATACTAGCATTTCCCTTTAGATCAGAGAGCTAAGTGTTCATGCCATAGTAAGAGTAGGGCATGACCTAGGTCAAGCCACTTCCAAAGGGTAACTGTAGGCACACTCTTAGAGCCTGCCATCGTTTAAAATAGTTCAGAATGAAATTAAAACTCCTTAACGTGGTGTGCAAAGCCCTTCATGACACAGCCCTGCCCACCTCTCCAGGCTCACCTCCCTTCACTGTCTCACGTGCTGCTTCATTCATTGGGACTACTTGGAGCTCTCCAAACATGCATACTTTTTCATCCATCAGTGCCTTTTGCCACCTGCTCTTTCTTTGGTCCCAGCTGCTCTTTTCACCTTTGCTGGGCTAACCTCCACTTGTGCTTCTCAACCCGAGTGTCACCTCCAGTAGAAAATCTCCCTGACTTCTTGGAGTGAGGAGCAATGGTTCTGCTTCAGGACACCATGGTGTATTCTGTGCCTGCCATCTTAACATTCACTCTCACTGCATTTACGGTGTGTTTATTAGTTTATTTCCTCACTTCCTTGTACGTGCCTTGGGGGCAGGGACAGTGTTTTATTCCTTCCAATGTGCCTTCTACCTTGTAGCTTATCAGAGATGCTCAGCAATGCTTGATGAAAGAGATTGTCAGACCTCGAGGCAGGGTGGGCCACTGCTGCTTACACTCTCAGCTTGCTTCCCCTTCCTCCGAAAAGAAACCAAACCAAACCAACCAGTTGCCATCACTTTCGACTCACGGTGACCCCATGTGTGCAGAGTAGAACTGTGCTCCATAGGGTTTTCATGGCAGTGACCTTTCAGAGGCAGATCACCAGGCCTTTCTTCGGAGGCACTGCTGGTTAGGCTCGAACTGCCAACCTTTCGGTTAGTAGACTAGCGCTTAACCATTTGCTCCACCTCCAAGCCTTGACATTGTCCCAACAAATCGTTTTGCAACACCATTATTTATCCCGGATACGTTGAGTTCATAAGAGAAAATATTAAAGAAAGAACCTTCCAGATGATGGGCTGTTACTCCTCCCCATACCTGAAATGGGTACTGTCTCTCCACGGGCGTCTGCTCCTCGAGATTGACTTTCTCCACACATCTGATTTTCTTAATCTCGATGGATCCTTTTCTGCTGCCTCTTTTCTGAATTAAATAAAAACAAAATCTAAGACGCCTTCTGTGATGCACTATGGTGCACAAAGAAAAGCATCAAGTTAAGATTGTGCTTGGGAGAAGTCGAGGGGGTAGAGGTGGGTATGGAAGAATCACCTTCCAACTAATCCATAATAGTCAAAATCCAATGACACAGAATATATTTCTCGAGTACAGACACATACCCATATACGCCTCCAAAATCAAGTCTTTAAGCATTTAAGATAATCTTGAAGCGTGTTTCAAACCACCTGCCACGTGGCTAATCTACTCAAGAAAATCAAGATTTAACTCCAAAATAGATCTTCATTTTGTTTCAATTTGATGACAGTATTTCAGCTTACTGTGATAGAATTCTCAACCGTACAGAAATTGTTTCCAGCCTTGTTTTAAGGCAGGGTTTCCAATCCTCTGCAGTATTGACATTGGGGTCAGATAATTCTTGGTTGTGAGGACTGTCCTGTGCATTGTAGGCTTTTTAACTACATCCTTGGCCTCTACCCACTAGATGCCAGTAACACCCCCCCCCCAGCTGTGACAACCAAAAATATCTCTAGACATCGCCAAACGTCCCCTGGGGGGGCAAAATCGCCCTCGGTTGAGAACCACTGTTCTACAGTTATAATTTGGCTTAGTGAAGTTAACTAATGTTTTAAAATTGTTTACCTTGGGTTCGTTATACCTTGTTAAGAAAAGGCACTGAGATAAGTGAACATTAATCTTTACTGTGTAACCTAAGAAACCTGATATTGTTTTATTGTATTTGAGCACTTTGTGGAGACTTAAGAAAAAATAAACAGTATAAAAACAACGGAATAAGTAGGAGCTCACCATTTTGTCATATTCATAGTAGGAGAGGTTTGTTTTGGTCAAAACAAAAAGCCGCTCTTTGTAATTATTTGGTGACATTTTCTTCTTCTGTTGTGACCTTTTGAGAAGAAGTTCTTCCAGTATGGATTTTTGATCCATATTATCGTCCTAAACAGAAGGAAGTAATTAAAATGAGAGTGTGCGGCATCTAGCGGATTTCTCTTTAGCCTTCATAATTTTCACTCAACCATTTCTCATTCAGGGATAATCTAAATGGAACTAACTAGGCACTTAAATGCACACATACTTACAAGTTTTTTCTACTGTCCTTGCTTTGATTTTTTTTATAAATATGGCGATTTTAAAAGCATTTTAGTCATTGTACCCATTTTCCACTCTGGAGTCACCATCTTTACGCCAACCTCTAGATCACCTTATCAAAATGCCATTGAAGCCTTAAGCATCCTACAGACGTTTGTTAAATTTACTTGGATGTTATCAAACTTTTTAAAACTTGAACTCCAGACAGCTCACCATGTTTCAAGTCATTGATCAACTGAAATGTCTCTCCATTAATGTGGCCAGTGGTTTGACCAAACTATCTGAACCGCTGTGAAACTCTGGTGTTATTGTAGATGATAACCACAGCCCCTGATTACAAAGAGGTCTTTAACCTAAAGGACATAGATACGCTTTCAGTATTCCTGATAAAGAATTCAAAATCAAAACAAACACCCAAGACAGAATCAAACGAGGGACAATCACGAGAGAGCAGGAGAAAATGCTATCAAAAGAGATTTAAAAGAGCTGAAAACACTGGTACATTTATAAACTAAAAACACCCTTGCTTTCCTCCCACTCTCTCACCCCCCAATCATGCAAAACACAGAAACTTAAGGTATTTCTGCAAAATGACGGCATTATTTTTCTGTTCTTACTAAGACTGTTGTTTCAACAATCAGCCAGGTATCAGCTCTGATCATGAAAAGCAGCAAAGTTAAGCTGTAGGCCACAGCAATAAACTTCTGACGTTCTTCTTTGCTTTGTGAAATCCCATAGTTATTTGCAGTCAGATGTCCAATGATTGCAATCTTCCTTGGCTTATTGGTAATCTGAAGGTAATTAACGTTACTCACCTTATACTCGCTAGAGCCAAAACCTACGTTCAAGGAGAGTCCTTAACTTGAACTCTCAAGCTCTAAGCCAAAATTACTGTTCCAAGGCACCATCACTCGTGTGGCCTCTGGCTATGCCAGGGTCACGTATTAAAAAGAAGATATTTGCATGCTGTTTATCACTCTTGATCAGGAAGCACCCACACAGGCATGGCTCTGTCCGGATGAAGGCGGATGCCAAGTGAACCCATCCAATCACAAGTGGGCACTTCTCACTGGCCCAGGAATATCACAGGCCCACTATGACCAGGGAGCCAGGAGAAAGGGAGACCAAGAAATATAGCCTGACCTTCAATTAGCCACAGTCAGGCCCAGCCAGCTTTCCTCCTGACCTGGACCACACTAACACTCTAGGCAGAAAATCAACTGTTATTATTTATTTACATAGATCAGGAGACTATTTATTAATCTCTAGAATGTTCTCCGAAGACAAAGTTTGATTTATAAGCAAAAGTAGCAGGAATCTTATCCATTAAATATAACAAAGTCTTGGTCACTTTTGCATTGGTTATTGTTTTATCTGAAAATAAAAGAATAATTCTCTTGCAAACGTGGAAATCCGGAACATTTGAGCACAATGGGGGCTATTTGCCATGACCTTGTATTCTTTGCCCAGGCCCCAAAGACAGGGTGTAGCAGAGCTGGCAGGACCTGGGAAGGCAGGCAGCGCGCCTACCTTTCGCCTCTCATTCCATTACAGACTCTACGCTGATGCCTGCTCGGATAACCGTATTTTCTACACCCGAAGTCTAAGGTCAAGAAAGAATTTGCTGGAAGACTTGTTGAAACTCTGAAGAGTCTAGTTTTTGTGAGTGAAAGTCAACTGTGCGGGAACCATACCACACTGAACATAGTTATAGCACACTTTGCTTTGTACATTTCTACATTAAAAAAAAGGAACTAATAAAGCAAAAAAAGAGAATACTATGGAAGCTCCTGTCAAATTCCTTTGATATCCACAGCTAAAACATTACTCCTCAAAGCAGAGTGCTAATCAAATAAATCTGGTTAGCTGAATCGAAAGTTTACTTTTCAAACATTTCTTTTTCAGATACTAAATCAATTTGTGACATTAAGAACGCTATTTAAAAAATGCAAATCCCAGTGTCCCAGATGGAATGAGGCCTTTTCCAGTACTGCATGATGACAGAATTGCTTGTCTGTTTATAGGACTTTCACACGCATCACATTTAAGATGGGTCTTTGGGGAATTTTCTATAAAAACTTAATGTGGTGAGTCACAGAAACCATTGACAAATGGAACTCATGGAAGTTGACTAGAAAGGAACATACCGAGGCCTGGAGTACATTCTCCAATAAATGTAAGCAGAAGGGCTTATACATTTTGTAGCATCTGTCCCTTCCTTATACTTCTCTCTTTTCCTCTAAATACCCTAGATTGTAAACTGAAGGCACTCCTGTGCTGTCTCTGGGTATCAGAAATGATCATCACCAAAAGGATAACATCTGCCCAAAAGCAAGGATGAGAAGGCAGGATGGGGCAGGAAAACTGGACGAATGGAAATGGGGAACTCAGGGTGGTAATTGGGAGACTGCTAACACATTGCGGGGATTTCAATCAATGTCATGGAACAATTTGTGTATAAACTATTGAATGGGAAACTAGTTTGCTCTGTAAACCTTCACCTAAAGCACAATTTAAAAAAAAAAAAAGAAGTGAAGAGCAGTGATGGCTAATTTTTAGAAAGGTGATAATGTCTCTTCCCTTGCATTAGGAGAATCAATAAACAGGGCCCAGGTACTCACTGTTGACTCTATAAATGCCTGTCAAACTCTGTCTGCTTATTCTTATGTAAGGGAAATTCAATAGGGAAAGTCAAATATCCTTCAAAATATAATGAGATTCTAAACCAATATTAACCAGAAATCTATTTCCATAGAGGAATGGGTAGGATTTGGCTGGACTCTCCTTTTACCACCCACATAGAATAGACACATCAATTTGCTTACCAAATAGCCACCGCTGCCTATTTCCATACGTACCTGAAACTAGCAAGAGAACACAGCGTAGGAGAGGCAAAAAGCTGGCAGGAATCAATATGGTATTCTCTGTAAGGGCGTCAGCAACCATTATGTAACCTACCACATGCATAAAAGGTGCATGTTGAATTGACAGAACTTGGAATCACTATGGTTACTTAGGATTTATAAGGAAACAGTATCAACAGAGTAAGGAGTTCAAGTCTGCAGTTCTACTCGGTACACTTGACTTGAAGCCGACAGTGTGACTGGTTGCAGAAACGAAGGTCAGCTCTCCATGCCCTGAGTAACAGCTCATAGGGTTGAGAGACAGGTTCGTCATGAAGTAAAAGGCAAGGTTACTTTGAGGTGGTGGACTTGGCAGGCTTGAAGTAGATTACAGTCCTATCACTTGTGAGCTGGGTCACCCTGAGCAAGCCCCTTCACGGCTCTAATCTCCAGTTTTCTGAGATGTACACCTCACTCTACAGGACTTCCATGAGAAACGTACGCCACGCTACGGGCACTGAATCATGAAGAACAAAGAATAAGGTGGAAGGCAACAATTCACACGCTAAAGTCGAGCCAATTCACTAGGCTATGAAAGGCCAAATGAAGGAGAAGTTGTTTTTTTCTTGAGATAATCAAGAAAGATATCATGGAAGGGAGGGCTTTGAAATTGGACCTTGAAAGATATCAGTGATTTCAGTAATAATAATCCTAGTGAACATTGAAGAGGGGAGGGGCAGTGGTGGTTCAGCGGTAGAATTCTCCCCTTCCATGCTGGAGACCCAGGTTCGATTCCCGGCCAATGCACCTCAAGCACAGCCACCACCTGTCAGTGGAGACTTGTGTGTTGCTAGGACACGGAACAGGTTTCAGCGGAGCTTCCAGACTAAGATGGACGATCTACTTCTGCAAATCAGTCAATGAAAACCCTATGGATCACGAAGGGCCGATGGGCAACTGATCATGAGGATGGTGCAAGACTGGGCAGCGTTTCGTTCTGTCCTGCATGGGGTCGCCACGAGTTGGGGGGCCGACCAGATGGCAGCAAACAGTAACAACATTCAAGGAGGGTGCTCCGTGTGCCAGGTGCTGGTTAAAGAGCCTTACAAACGCCAATTCATTTACTGGTCACATCCGCCCCAGCCTGTGGTTGTCCCATCATTCCCTGCTTGCAGCTGCATTAGAGACTAGAGGGATAAGTAAATTGCCCAGGTCACACCGCTAGTGTGGTGGAGCTGGGATTTGAACCCGGGCAGTTTAACTCCACGGCCCATATTCTTGACCATGATGCTAGCATTAGAGAAGAACATGCCAGCAGTGTGACCCTCCTAAACCAGAGATGGCTCTAAGCCAGGTACAGAAGGCAGCCATGGGAGTGTCAAAGCTGGTAGGAGACCTCACAGCCATTTTACAGAGGTGACGCTGAGCCCCGCCAGCCTAAGTGAGTTAGCCAGGACCACAAAACTTGGGCGTAAGAGACACAGCCCAGAACGTCAAATTTCTGACGTCCCACCTGGTGAGCAGTCCACACTTCCACAGCAGTAAACAGATGGACAAAATCCATGTGTTCAGCTGAACATACCACACCCCAGCTAAGGCACGCTGTGTGCAGAATTAGGTATCAATTTGGGTCTTACCAGACCTCACTGAAACAAGCAAACAAAAACCCATTGTTGTCGAATTGATTCCGACTCAGCGACCCCATAGGACAGAGTAGAGCTGCCCCATAGGGTTTCCAAGGCTGTAATCTTTACAGAAGCAGACTGCCACATCTTTCTCCCCCAGAGTGGCTGGTAGGTTTGAACTGTTAACCTTTGGGTTAGCAGCTCAGCACTTTAACCACTTCACCACCAGGGCTCATTGAAGGGACCTTTTATTGGAAATATCAGAAAGATGTGACCTATAAACAATCCTTCAGCAGGAATTCCCCAAGGCAGTGTTAAAAAGCAAAGCTCCAGCCTGTATTTTGAAAAGAGGCAAGAACACACAAACTCAGAAGTTGGAATGAATTCTCCAGAGGGCAGAAGGGGAGCAGAAGGCAGGAAAGGAAGAAAGGCAGTATGTATAGTTAAATGGGGCCACTGGACTAGTCCCTCGACCAAACTGCATATTCCCAGCTGTGTCAAGGATGGTGCCCTTACGCTTTATCCTTTAGAACTGAGAGATGAGAGTAGCGATTCCTTTCCCTTTTGTCTTGGTTTAGTTGTCTTTTCTTGCTTTACACATTATTAGGTAAAGATTTTGCTAGGCGTCCAGATAGTAAAATAATACCTGCAGTGGGACGGCAGTGGAGCGGGAGGGCAGTAAGGAGAAGGAAGATTCTCTAACTGGGGACAGAGGTTCTGGGAGGGAAGATGGAGCACCCTGTCGCAAACTTGACTTTCAAATATTGGCCCAGAGCAAGGAGCCCTGGTGGCGCAATGGTTAAGTGCTTGGTTGTTAACGGAAAGATTGGCGGTTCATGGTTGACTCCTTGGGAGAAAGACCTGGCAATCTACTCCCATAAAGATTACAGCCTAGAAAACTCTATGGGGCAATTTTACTCTGTCACACAGGGTGGCTATAAATCAGAATCGACTCGACAGCCCACAAGAACTACGACAGGTAAAGGGTATATGGATGTTCATTGCACTATTCCTGTAACAACGACAACAGGCCTACTTACCTTCCTGCTAAATAACTGAACAAAATATGATGATAAGTTTAAACAGGAACAAAAGGCTTAATTCAGAACCAGGTAAAGTGGTTCAAAAACTCTTCTTAAGATGTTGGCCAAAGACAAATCTGAGCTCCACAGAATGTGACAAGTCCCTATTTTATGTGGTTATGCTGTTACGTGGGAGACACTTACCATTGATTTTGACAGAAATCCTTTTAACATTGACACTCAAATTCTCAGCATTTTGGAACAACCCATCTTAATTGCACCAAAATGAAGTTATGAAAACCAGACACTTTGGGAAGGCTATCATTTCACTAAGAAGGCAAGCATTCCACTGCTCTTCCTGTTGGAGCTGAAACATGCTCTGGGCATGAAATTCATCTTCAGCGCCTCATGAAGCTTTTATAAGCCCTTTCTTCTTTTCCTTCTGCCCCCCCCCCCCCCCCGCCCAGGGCATGCTCTCTGGGCATCTTCCTTAGGAAGAAAGCAAAAAGTGATAAATTTACCTTCGGCTGAATGAGTTGAATCCTGCCTAGGCGATGGTGGGAACAAAAGCACTTAGGTTTGGTGGGTTCAAATCCCTGCTCTGTCTTAACGCAACTTGGTAGATTACTTAAGACGGCTTAACCTCAGCTTCCCCATCTGTAAAGGGAGTGAAACAGTGACCACCTCAAGGGCTCATGAGGAGTCCAGAGAAAATGAAGGTACAGCATCTAGCAGCCTAGTAGATATTCTAGAAGCATATACCCCTTCCCCTCATCATTCCGTAGGCAAAGTTAAAGAACAGGAGACAATGAAATGATCCTCAGTGATAACATTTCAGTCCCCATTCCCTTCCCCCAGCTCCTGGGGGTCGTGGGGACAGCAAGGGCTCCTCAGGTAGCCCCAAGTCAAGACTCACTTGCTCAGTAGATCTGGTTACAGGCTCTCCGTGTGGGGACTACTTCCCTTAAAATCAGATTGAACCAGCCTCTCGCTGACTACGTATTTGTGCCACCAGGTTTATGAATAAATACTTGAATGTTATCGGAGTGGGGTCCAGGGACTGGCAGCATCAGTATCACCCGGGCAGAATCTCAGGCCCCATCCCGGACCCACTGAAACAGCATCTGCATTTCACTGAGACCCCAGGCGCACACTGGAGTTTGAGAAACACTGACCGAGACCACATTATAACAGTACTACTTTTGAAATCAAACCATGGTGCACAAGAACTTTCAAAATTATATGGACGTGACTGCAGGGGTGTGGTTAACCCTCCTCCCTTCTTTCCATCTCCATCTAAAATATCCCCTGGGCCCTTGATTTACGGAGGCTGCTTCAGGGACCTGGGTGCTAGTAGCAGAATGGTTGGCAGTTCGAACCCCCCCAGCAGTGCCACAGAAGAAAGGCCTGGAGATCTACTTCTGTAAAGATTACAGCCACGAAAACCATATGGAGTAGTTCTGCTCTGTAACACATGGGATTGCCATGAGTGGGATTCAGCTCGACAGCAAGGGGTTCAGGGACCTAAGAACAAATATCTGGTGCTAAAATAACATCATACATTACACGGAAAGAAAAGAAGGGATGGATAACATTTCTTTGTCTTTTTGGAAGCAGGTATGAAGTCAACGTGAAAAGCCAGAGAAAAACAATGCCTAAAGAATAAAAAACCAACCAAACCCGTTGCCATCGAGTCGATTCCGACTCATAGCAACGCTATAGTGGGCGAAAATCAAAAGAAGAAGCACACAGACAACCTGATCTCTTCCCTGAATGAAATCTTGAGCCAGGGGTAGATTTACAGCGAAATGATAGCAGTATAAGCATCTGGGCCTCAAATTACACAATCCCTTCCAAAGCGCTAGCAATTTTGAATTCATAATTTTGGATTATTGTTTTGCAAGTGGGCTCCCCAAATTTTGAAAACTCCAGACCCCATAACACCTGGATCCAAACCTACTTTCCTGCAGAGCCACCTGTCGCTGATACGCACCATTTCCGCCTGTTCTGTCGCCCCCGTCCACAGCGCCAAAGTTAATCTGCTCGTTGCAGGAACCCAGCCCCAGTTGTCCTCCTTCCAGCAGCAGCAAATTGTCTCACATGTTCCCGGCTGCTGGGTCAGAAATGGCTACATTACTCAGTGCCCCCCAAACGTTTATTGTCCTGCAGAGCCTTACACAATCCCACAGGAAACCGCGCTCAACACTTAGCCAACACTTGTTGATCTGATTGAACGTAGTCAAAACGGAGACAAAAGCATATTTCAGAAAGGTTCCAACTTTGATATCTGCAGCTCCTGCTTTTCCCAGGCAGCCCTTGGGTCCATGTGATAACCCTGCCTTTGTTTCTAGAGGTTTCTGCTGGAAAGGACAAGAAAATATCTCTGCACAGCCCCACTTCTGACTCTGACTTCTTTCAGGAAACCATTGGGTAACGCCAAAGTGCACAGAGAATAAGCAATAAAAACTTCACTTCAACACTTGGACAAAGAGAGGCCTGAGAATGTACGTGAGAGAAGAAGCGTTAATAAGACCATAAAGGAGCACATTCCCCAGCTGAAATGATTAAGACATCCAGAATTGGAAAAGAAATCGGTTTTGCCAATGTAGGATGCTCCAAGATTGCAATGAAAAAATGTGATTGTCACTTGACTTCCTTCTGACAACATCACAACTTTTGGGTTTACTCAGTCCATCACTGTCTCTGGTACACATAAGCTGGTCATATACACCGAATCTAGTGACAGAGTTTAGGCTCAGCTAGGGAAAGCCGAGAACATGAACCATCCTTTTGGCATACATTGGCACACAGTGCTAATGTATAAACGGTTGGATACTTTAACTTCTTTGTAAACACCCATAGCGTGCTTGTCGTTGTTAGTTAGCTGCCATCGTGTCGATTGGAACTCCCGGCAACCCCAAGTGTGCCAAGTAAAACTGCACTCCATAGAGATTTCAAGGCTGTGACCTTCAGAAGCAGATTGCCAGGCCTTTCTTCTGAGGTGCCTTTGAGTGGATTTGAACCGCCAACCTTTCAGTTAGTAGTCCAATGCTTAACCGTTTGTGCTACCCAGGGACTTGGTATGAGTTGAAATCGACTCGATGGCACCTAACAATATAGTGTGGTAGGAGTCCCTGAGTGGCACTAACTGAAAGGTTGGCGGTTCAAATCCACTCAAAGGCACCTCAGAAGAAGGCCCTGGCAATCTGCTTCTGAAAGGTCACAGCCTTGAAAACCCTATGGAGCAGTTATACTCTGCACACGTGGGGCTCCATGAGGCTATTCAACGACAGCTGGTTGACTGATGGTGTGGTAAAGTCTTGGATTGGCAGAAGAGAGCGAAGCTCTGACTTCCAAAGAGGTCCTGTCTTTTCAGTGGGCATAAGATTAGCATCCTTTCTCTGTATTCATTCAGCCAGTCAACTCTTACTGAGCATCTACCATGTCCTGAGCATTCTGTTAGGGACCAGAGGGAAAAGTCAACAGAACAAAGACAGCCTGCTCCCTCTAGGGACTTGTCTAGTGGGGGAAGACAGACAAGTAAAGGTAAAGTGTGTGAATGATAACTTGCAGAGATTGTTAATCTTTCTGCCTGAAAACTGAAATTTGGGGAAGGGCAAGGAGTCCTTCAGAAGAATTTAGAAGAGCGGAGATTGCACCTTCATAGCAAATAAAAGTCAATGATGGATTGCACATAGCTCGCCATTCATCCACCAGGAAGAAAGGAGGCAGCCATTCAAGAAATTGAAGATGAGAAAGGTTAGATGAGAAGCTTAGGGGGCAGTGAGTTTGTGTTGATGATGGTAAAGCAGCTTGGAAAAGGATATTGAAAAAGGTGGCACAGCTTGAAGAATGCAACCAATGTCACTGAAATGTACATGCAGAAATTGTTGAATTGATGTATGCTTTGCTGTGTATATCTTCACTAAAAAAAAAAAAAAGAAAGAAAGAAATTGAGGTGAAGTAGAGTAACAGTGGCCCAGTAACCTGGCCAAAGAAGTTAATTTTATGTTCTAACTTCCTTTTCCACAAGAAAATTTGTATTTACTCTACTGCTTATATAGGGTTGCATGGCAAAAAACAATTCTAGAAGAAAAAGTAAATTTAGGGGGGTAGGGGAGGAGGTGGTATAAGTCTGGAAACACCTGGGCACACTCTTTTGGGATTTCAGTCCTTTCTCTGGGCTTAACACACTCAAGGGCGACTGGGAGGAGTGGTTTCCTCTCAGTCAAAACGGCACCAATTTATTTATTTATTCTATTCATTCACTTCCTCCGCTACATCTCCTGAACCCTTCTTTGGCTCTGTGTTTTCCATGTCATTAGTTAACCCCTAAATTTGTTGTGGCAACCTCCTTTTTTGATGACATGATTTAATTTGCTCAAATTATAGTCAGCTTTGTCACTTCCACCCAGTGAGACCCTTAGGAAATTTCTCTGAAGCCTGTTCACGCAAGCCGTTAACAGGCAACAAGCTTCTGTAGAGACACAGCGTGGGATAACGGGACTTCATGACGTGAACCAGCTTGCTCACTTGGGAGAAGTAGTGCTTAGATTTTTAGAGTAAGAAAGAACAGGGGAGGATCCATTTTGTGTGTGTGTGTGTGTGTGTGTGTGTGTGAGAGAGAGAGACAGAGAGACAATCTTTGTGACTGACCTGTATTTTTCTCTCACTTTTAAAAAGTCTGGGGATGTTGGACCTCCCTTGATAAGATACTTTTTTTTGACATAATCATACCCGTGTGTGTAGTCTATAGAGTTTTTAAAAAGTTTGTATGTGCTGTGTACTTGCTAGGCCCTGAGTTAATCTGCCCGTAATGAGAAAACAAGCCGGGTGCCTTCCGGGGCCCTCGGTTACCGCTGCAGTTCTCAGTCCCCTCCTCACAGAAGTGAGAGTTGATGCTGCAAAAAATACCATGTTTGGCTTAAGATTCCAAATTTCAGCCAGGACCTCTCTCCAGAATTCCAGACTTGAATCCAATGGTCAACTTGTCCATATTTATTTGGTTTATCTAATAGACATGTGAAACTTAGCATGTTCAAGGCTGACCTCCTGATTAACCCCTCGAACTAGCTCTTACTAATCTTCCCATTCTCAGCTAATGGTAACTTCATCCTTCCAGTTGCTCAAGTCAAAGAATGTGGAATCACCCTTGATTTTTACCCTTCCCTCACATCCAATACCCAATTGTTCAGAAAATATGGTTGACTCTACCATCAAAATAGATCCCAAGTTTGGCCACTCCTCACCACCTCTACTGCTACCTTGATGGTCCCAGGGGCCCTTATCCCTCACCTGGAATATTCCACTCGTCTCCCGGCCACTCTCCCTGATCCTACTCTTGCCCCCTGCCGTCTAGTTTCCAATAAGTAGCCAGAGTGATTCTTTTAAACTTTAAGTCAAATCTTGTCACTCCTCTCCTCTGAACTCTCCAATGACTCCCCCCTCTTCTGGTCCCCTATTACCGTCTTTAACATCAGCTCACGATTTTTCTACTACTTACCACTCCCCAAACCGGCTTCCTGGCTACTCCTACGATATTCTGCGCATACTCTGCCCCAAGACCTTTGTATTGGAGGTTTCCACTGCTGACTCTTCCAGATAGCTGCCTGGCTCATTTCTTCACCTGCAGGCTCAGCTCAAAGGGTAGCTTCTTAATGAGCCCTCCCCTAACCACTGTGTTAAACACTATACCTTCACCCCAACCAGAGCTCCCAGTCTCCCTTCCTCTGCTCTACTTGTGCTTTTTTTCCACAGAACTTATTACCTTACTTATTACCTTATATCCTGACACGTAATTTCGTTATTGATTATTGTTCTTAACTGTCCATCCCTAGAGAGTAAGCCCACGGGGCGCCAACAGCTTCTCTGCAGCCTGAGCTCTCTCCACGGGCGTCTCTTCATTGGTGGGTCACCCTGTCACCTCTTCTGCTTGGAGGCGGGGATCTGATGTGACTTGTTCATACTTACTGGAACTAAAGATGAGCCTACCACCTCTCCTAAGGATCCCTGGACATCAAACTTCAGGTTCAACAGTGGAACGAATGGATTGTTCTCTATGAAAGGGGATTGTTGAGTGGGAGGTGGAGGTGGACGAGGAAAGGTTTGTTTTTGTTTTGTTACGATGACCATTCCTGACACGTATGAAATCTTTACACAGACTGTTGGTATTTTATCAACTCAACTCCCATTTTTTAGTGGGAGATAAGGATTTGGGGTCTAGATGGAGTTGGCAAATTATGCCAACTGCCTGTTTTTGTAAATAAAGTTTTATTGGGACACAGCCGTATCCATTCATTTACATTGTCTTTGATTACTTTTGAGCTACAAAGGCAGAGTTGAGCAGTTATAGACAGAGACTGAATGGCTCACAAGGCCTAAAAGATATACTCTCTGGCCTTCACAGAAAAAAATTGCCGGCCCCTGATCTAGAAGAATCCTGCCAGCACTAGGAGTGACCTAGTAGCTTGGAGTTACTTTCAACAGCCATTCACTGAACTGTACTGTGTACAAGGGATCAGAGTTAGAATCAAGGAAAGAGGCAAAAAGGGACAACTTTATGGAACCCTTCCAGCCCTGATTCCCAGTTTGATTCAAATTATTTTTTCCTAAGATTTTATCGTGAACAATTTCAAAATACAGAGAAGTTAAAAGAATCGTACAGTGAGCAGCCACACTCCTACCTACATCCTACAATGAACAATTTGCTATATTTGCTTCATCATACATCTATCCATTTATTCGGAAACCCTGGTGGCGTAGTGGTTAAGAGCTACGGCTACTTACCAAAAGGTTGGCAGTTCGAATTCACCAGACGCTCCTTGGAAACTCTAAGGGACAGTTCTACTCTGTCCTATAGGGTTGCTATGAGTCGGAATTGACTCGACGGCAATGAGTTTGGTTTTTTTTGGTTTTATTTATATTTACATATATCATTATTATTACTTCTGTAACTGTCTCCAAGTAAAATAGAAGCACGAACTCTCTGTCAAACACTTTGCCATCCTCAGTAAATGTTTCTGCATTCCTGAGGATGAAGTTCACCATTCTGACAGCTGCCTGAGCTGAAAACCAAGCTCTCCCCCTCACTCTGCCCCCTTTGGAATCCGAACAAAGGTCCCTGGGTGGCGCAGGTGGTTTGCGCTCAACTACTAACGGAAA